GGCTGGGCTTCCCTCCGTGGGCTCCCCCTCCCCTCCGGGAGCAGACCCCAGCCCTACAGAGCTGTTGGTCTGCGGGAGGCGTCTCTGTGCCTCGTCCAGCCACTCCCAGGTCTGAGTCTCTTTGGAGCTCAGGGCATCTGACAAATCCATCAACAGGAGCCCCGGCCCGTCTCCTCAGGGTGGGAACGGTGCCCGAGGAGGCGTGGCCTGGCAGGGAGTTTCTGAGATGAGGTGAAGGAGGCCACATTCGGAGCCTGCACCTGAGACTCACACCCCGGCCAGGAGCCCTCCGGGGTCCTTCCCGGCTTTGCCACTCCCTTGGGGCAGCTCACAGCATAAGGGGGGGGGGGCTCCAAGATGGCGCCTGGTTCGGTTATGGGGTGGTAGGGACTGTGACTGAGGGGCACGGCAGGCAGTGATGGTGTGGAAAGAGCCGGTGAGGCGGGGGAGCTTCAGGTCCAAACCTCGGAGACGGAGATGCAAGATTGACAGGGGAGGGGTGGTGGAGGGGCGGGACTTGAGAGTAGAGAGAGACGTGGAGGTTGGGCCGTGTGGGTGTCACTCTGCTCGCTCGGTTGAAGACTCTGAAGTTGGGCCCAGGAAACGCGTGGGGCTTCATCCTGAGGATGGAGGAAGCTGCAGGCCGGCCCACGCCCTGCTCAGCACCGTGCACGTGGCCGCTTCCCCGGCTCTCTGGCGGGCCAGGTCTCCCTTTGTGCAGAGGAGGCACGCGTGGTCTGGGATGGAGGAGGAGTGAGGGCTCAGCCACGCCGCCGCAGACTCTGTCCTCTGCGATCCTGCTGCATCCCGCTCAGCCTCCCGAGAGCAGGCAGTGGGAGTGCCCGGCTGGAGGCCAGAGGGCTGGCTGCCCAGATCTGCATCACCGGCTCGCGCGCCGAGCCACGCTCCCGGCGTTTCAGAGTGCTGTCCGTGTCCTGGCGTCCTGGCCGGCGTTTGCCATGTCCTTCCTTCTGCTCCTCCCTGCTTCCCTTCCCCCGAGTGAGCAGGGGAGGCGGGCGGCCCGGCAGGTGCCGGAGCTCACAGCTAGGCTTCGTCCACACAGGGTCAGGGTGCACTGGCCCGGATGGCCCCGGCGGCTGCTGCGCGTGCCCGTCTGGTGGAGCGCCCTGCAGAGGCCGTGGGGGCAGCGAGCCCATTGCCACAGCGGGCCCTGGTCCTCCAGAAAGAGCCGCTGGAGGGAAGGAAAGGCCTAGCCGTCTTTCAGAAACCCATGCAACAGCCGGCACGGCGCTTGCGCAGGGAGGGCTCGGCCTCCGCTGTCTCCGCCTGCTTGGCTGGGCTCGGCGCTTCCCACCCGGTGTCTTCGGATGGCGCTGAAATTCACTGTCCGTTCAGCCGAGCGGCTGCCTGCTACGCGACGCTGCTGGCTGCGCTGTGGGAGTCAGCGTAGGCAGGAAGGGGGGACCCGGGCGACAGGCACCACCTGCACTTGCGAACCCCTGCCCTGTAGGTGGAGGGCGTCAGTGACCATTGTCCAGAAGTGTTGTCCTTACTAAAGAGGGAGGGGCGTTTATTTAAGTGACAAGTGACCTTGGGTTTACTTCCCCGTGGGTGGGTCCGTGGTGGGGAAAGACGCCACAGGAGTTCCTCCGAGGGCTTGGGGCTGTCTCTAACCCTGGACCCCGAGGGCTTGGGGCTGTCTAACCCTGGACCGCGGGCTTTTCTACTGGGGGATCAGAGAGGCCACTGCACAGGCAGCAGACAGCACAGGTGACGCACACAGGGCCCAGGGCCCCGGCTCCGTCTCCCTGTGAAATCAGATTTCAGTACAGCCGCAGGGTCCCCAGGGGCTGGCCCAGCCCTGTGGTTCCAGGAGCACAGATCCTGGGCTGGGCTGGGCTGGGCTGGGCTGGGCAGGGCAGGGCTGGGCTGTGGCTGGGCTGGGCTGGGCTGGGCAGGGCTGGGCAGGGCTGGGCTGAGGCTGGGCTGGGCTGGGCAGGGCAGGGCTGGGCTGTGGCTGGGCTGGGCAGGGCTGGGCAGGGCAGGGCAGGGCAGGGCTGGGCTGGGCTGGGCTGGGCTGAGGCTGGGCTGGGCTGGGCTGGGCAGGGCTGGGCTGAGGCTGGGCTGGGCTGGGCTGGGCAGGGCAGGGATACGACACTCTAATTGCGTTTTTTTTTTTTTTTTTTATATTGTTGTTTT